GGGCAGTGGGGCTGAGGGGAGCCCCCCCCCCAGAGGGACCTGCCAGGGGGCCAGGTGAGCCCAGCAGTGCTTACCTGGAGCAGCTCCCAGGAAGCATCCAGCAGGCAGGTCCCTCCCAGTCCCTCTGGCTCCTTCCTAGGGTCGGGTCGGGTCGGGTCGGGTCGGGTCGAGGGGAGGGCGGGGGCTCTCTGCCCAGCGCTCACTGCCGGAGTCTATAAGCCCCGCCCCGCTGCAGCAGGCGGTGGAGTGAGACCTCCTCTCTGTGTGCCCGGGGCAGGGCTGCGCTCTGCAGGCTCCTGCCGGCCGGGCAGCTGGCCTCGTGGGCCCAAGGAGGAAAGGTGAGTGGCGCCGGTGGGGCCGGCTTGCTGCGATCCCCCTCATATAGGGAGACCAGACGTCCGGACGCGGGACAAGTCCCCTAAAATCGGGACTGTCCGTCTGGTCACCCTATCTACATACTTGGTTTTCTTTCTTCAGACAGGGGTGGTGATGGGCTATTTGGAATCTCCCTGCACCTTGCTGTGGGTGGAGGATAAAGAATTGTACAGGCTTCCTCTAGTTGGGCAAACACAATTTTAAACAAGAAGCACAGAAACTGTTCTTTTTAATGTGGGTTGGGGAGTGTATTTTAATCAAAAAATGCACTGGCTGCTCAGGTAGAGATGAAGGCGGGTTGATAATTTTCGCAGAGTTAATGGAAAGTTCAGCTCACTAGTTTATCTGGGTTAAAGGGTTAAAAAAAGTTGTAAAAATAAGGCTGTGATCCTGCATCTAGTTCTGTGCAGGCACAGGATTGGGACCTAAATGTCCTCCCAGTGTTACTAACAGCACAGGGAATTAACTTCAGGTAGTAGTTTATTAAAATGGAAGGACAGTTAAAATCTGACTTGCTTTTCTACATTAATGCTCTGTTTACTTTTGTGTTTCATTCAGATTGGACAATCAAGCTAGAATAGTTAGTTCCACTTATCCATTCTAAGAACATAAGAATGGCTGTACTGGACCAGACCAATGGTCTGTCTAGCCCAGTATCATGTTTTCTGACAGTGGCTAGTGCCAGATGCTTCAGAGGAAATGAACAGAATAGGGCAATTATGGAGTGATGATCCATGCCGTGTTGTCCAGACTCAGTTTCTGGCAATCAGAGATTTAGGGACACCCAGAGCATGGGGTTGCATCCCTGAACATCTTGGATAATAGCCATTGTTGGACCTGTCCTCTTATTTTTTTAACCCAGTTATACTTTTGGTCTAATTCTTTGTATTACTATGGCAGTGCTCCATACATTTTCACAGAGGAATTAGCAGTGCTTTCTTGACTGTCCTGCATTAGCACAGGGCAGTAATGTTTGGGTTGCAAATACTGTAGGTAAAAGTTTGCATGATAATAGAAATATCTCCTATGTAAATTACTAACCCTGCATTTTGGGCCTGATTGGCACTTTTTGAAGTGACAGGAAGGTGTAACCACAATTTGCAAATTTCTTGCTGCAGATAATTTTTCTGAAAAAGCTATTGTGTGTAAATACAATTATTTTATAGTCGTGTTGACAACATCCTGGAAACACCTCAGCTCTCTAAAAGGCAGTGCACTAAAAGCATTTTTGCTTTGTTGTTTGGCATTTTGTGGTGACACAGCTGAGTGCCTCACTGAACAATTTTTAAAAATTAAAAGCAATCCTCTGGAAAGATCCTGTTTGTAGTGGGATCCTACTGTTGCTAGGTAACTGCAGGGATTTCTTGCAAGAACATCTGGTAGCAAGATGCCAAATTATGGATCTGTTCAACTACTTGTTTCACAGAAGGCCATATGTCCTCAGGAAGTTTGTTGGATTGTGTATTTTATTTTTGGGCTCGGGTGGTGAGAGGGGATGAGATGTGAGCATCCCTACTGTTACAGTTGCCGTACAATCAGTCAGCATGGGGGAAGAGAGAGAGGGAAGCTGATGTGCCTTTCAGTGTTGAACCATCATCATTGTTCTACTTCTAAGCAATGGGAAAACTGGGGAACACTTGGCACCCAAGCCTGAGAGAGGCTGAGCATCTTCAATTCCACGTGTCTTCTCTGGGAGTTAAGGGAGTTTAGCACCTCGGACCACTTGGCCCTTTGCATATTTCAGAGAATGCAGTTTAATTTTTTTTCTAGGTGCCTTTGCCTAAGTCTGAATTTTCCATTGCAGGTAGTTTGCAGACTAGAAAGGTCTGAGCTGTTGCCTGCCACTGTATATGTTGCCTGTAGGAAATTAGATCCCAGGTAACTCGGAGCTGTCTGTTAGAAGCCGTAAGTATTGTATTACAGCTGGCATTTCTTATGCAGCCTTTGTGTATCTCCTCCATTGCCTTATACATATAGCATAACTGCATTTTGTATGTATCTTTCATACATACCCCAACACTATACAGTTAGCCCCAGATCTTCAGAGGTTCTTAGGAGCTTAAATGCCTTTGAGGATCTGGACTTGAGTCCGGGTGTTTATGTTCTAGTACAACAAGAAGATACGGATTTGATGCGGGAATCACTGGGGGAAGTTCTATGGCTTGTGTTATGCTGGAGGTCAGATTAGATGAGCATTATCACCCCTTCTGGCTCTCAGATCTGTGTATCTGACTTTACTGCCACAAAAAAAAGTTTACTCCTATTAGGCCAAGATAACTATGGAGGAACAAGCTGGGCCCCATTCTGCCTCTTCATCAGCAACACAACTATTAACTAAATTCCACAGCTGCACCATCCTGAAATTTGTGCCATCCGATTTTTGTAGCAGTGCTGCTTTGCTCGGCTCCTGGAGTTATTAAGGAGACCTCAATATGTCTGGAATGCTAGGGTGCTATTGTGAGGGATCTCATGAAAACAGTAGCTCTACCTTTAAGCCTGGTTAGAGCATCCTTAGAGCACTGTTCTGCTCTGAAAAGTGACTTATCTAAAAACAACCCCTTCTTTCTCCATAGCTCTTCCTCTTGGGTGTATAGCTGCTGACTTTAATGATTAATTACATTGTATTTTTAATTAATTGTCCCCCTGCACCTGCAGTGTGAGCTAGACGCCTACTGTTTTATAAATCAAATAAATAATCAGGTTTTACTGTCTTTTACTCCTGTGAGCCCTACAGAAACAGCATAGCTAAGAGGAGAGGAGCTATAGGCTATCCTTCCTTGTGCATCATTGCATAATTATTCACCATGCTCTGGTGACACCTGTGCAAACTCATTGAAGGCAATGGCAATAGGTGTGACAGAGGAGGCATAATTTATCCTGCAGAATCTTTACTGCTGCAGATGGAGGTGACAAGGAAAGAGCCCAGCATGACCCTCAGATCCCAGGGTCAGTTGGCAGGGCTGATATTTAGAAACCCCTCATTTGACTTGCAGACTGAGCACATTTGGTATGGATATCACTGAGAGACCATAAACCAGAGCCCCACAGTGCCATTTTAGAATCACTTTTCAGAGTAGACCTGCACTTTAAACACTGGGTGCTGGGTGGCGTTGGCAGCCTGTGATATACAGGAGGTCAGACTAGATGATTCCTTCTGGCCTTAAACTTTATGAATGTACGACACTCTGACTTGTCTTTGCATGGCCCATCACCATATAGCTGTGCATTGGACAAAGAATGAAGCAGCAGTAATTGAGAGCTGTGCCGAATGGCACAGAGACGAGCAACCATTCAACAGCCAAGCAAGATGAAATCTCAGAACAGTGGGAAAGGACATCACAGGGAACCTCAAATGTCTTGGAAGGTTATAGTGGAAAAATGGTTGTCCAGAGATATCAAACCTAGATTATTGAGGCATGATGAGTATATGCCAGTATGCCCCTGATATTGCATCCCAGTATGAGGATAATAGTCCACAGCATGTTGATTTAGAGCTACAGTGAACAAGTGCAAATGTCAGACTGTCATGATACAACATCATGACATGTCTTTGTCCTGCAAGACAATAGAGCACAGGTGGCTGCCCTCAGTAGCTTTGACTCTCATGAGTAGAGCATTCAGGGGGTTGCACTATGGAGAAGTTTAAATATTCATGAGAATGGAGAAGAGAGATGCCTGGTTCAGAGTCTGAATCTGCTGAAATATTCATTGTCTTCAGTGATGCTTATCTTATATTGGAGTAAGGAAGCACAAAGCAGCATGGAGTGGCTCCTCTATTGGGCAGTGGGGGCAGGTGTCAGGATGTAGAAACTATAGTTAGATATTTCAAAACATTGGCAGGCTCATGGGGCTGGTGATAGAATAGCTCATCCTTCACTTTAGGGGACTACTTGTAATCCAGGCTGGGCTAGCAGGGTTGAAAAGTGATGATCATTTCAGGGGTGTTTGGTGATCTCTATGAAATGAGTCTGGGGGAAGGGAGCGTCATTCCAGTTCCCAGTGGATAAGTGTCCACAAAACCACCATCACATCTGGTCCCCTAGTAGGCATTCTCAGCAAAGAAGATAAGGACTTACAGGCACAGGGACTGAAGTGTGCTGGTACCAAGAGGTCAGATGCGAGACACATTCGTGGATTGTAGAGTGTTGTGGTTTGCCCTGTTGCTGTTTGTGACTAAACAGAGGCTACAGATTTCCTTTTAAAAGTAATAAAAGGTCTAATTTCATTTCATTATTTCATTAAAATGTAAGAGGATTGTTTCCTTCTCCCAGAGTTCCTCTGCATCCATGCTAATGGTAATGTACTGATGCGTGTGTGCCCTTATGCCCTCTGCTTGATGGGGATAGGGTGTGCATGTGTGTGTGCATGCATGTACTCTTGTCCTCTGTTCTGTGCGCTGAAGTCAGTGTTTGGCAGTCAGATGAATTCGTCATGATGGTAAGTTTCCCAGCACAATGCCATAGCATTGGCACAATGTAATCTTTAATCACAACATTGTCTTTCAGCAACATACCCTGCAGTGGTGTGATGGATCATGACAAGAGGTGATTCGTGGGAGGGGCATGAAGGGAGAGGAAGGGGCGGGACCAGAGCTGGAAGAGAAGAGACGAGACGGGGCCAGAGTTTCTTCCAGCCACGCTGCCTGGGACGCTGCCCGGTGCAGCGCAGCGGCTGACTGGGAGATTGCCTGGCTGCGGCAGCAGCAGGCTGTCCCCCGTCCAGGCTTAGCTTCTGGGGACAGCGGCCGAGTGAGCTGGAGCCCCCCCCCTCTCTGGCGTGCTCAGAGTTGGCTCCTGTCCCCAGAAGTACTCGCTGCCCCCTCCCCAGCCAGGCTCTCTTGCAGCCAGCTATTGCTGCGCACAGAGCATGCCAGAGGGGCGGGGGGCTCCGACTCGCTCAGCTGCTGTCCCGGAAGCCAAGCCCAGGTGGGAGGCAGCCCGGCACTCTCCCAGGTAACTGCTGTGCTGCACCAGGCAGCATCCTGGAGTGGCTTCGGGGCCTGGCTGCTAGGGAGAGCAGTCAAACATCCGGGGGAGCTGGCGCAGTGGGAGGATAGAGCCCCCCCGTATGGTGGGAAGGGGACAGGGAGAGCGCAGGGCCCCTGAACTGGGAGTGGGGTGGGGAGAAGTCACCTGGGGAAGTCACATGTCCTCCCTTTCAGCAGGTGCCCCCAGTATGGGAGGGCACCAGTCATGGGGAGGAGCATCTTGCACACAGTGACAAAATTTGAATAATCACATTAGATCTGGGGGGTGTAGTAATCTTAGTAGGTTAGTTTGCTCTTGGTATCTCTCTTTATTGATTGAGGCCTGAAAAAAGCCAATAAGCCCCAACATTGCCCAAGTGGTATTAACCTGGGTTTGGGGGCAGTGATCACGATTCCCTTCCTCACTGCACAGGTGATTCAGCTGAAAACAGTGACATCTCGGCGGAGGTGGCTACTGCCCTCCCTGAGGTCACTGAGATCTGATGTCATGGCCTGCAGCCTTTCAAACAAAGTTGTTGGTCAGGGCTGCTTCTTAACTGTCCAGCTTGTTTGCCGTTGAATAATCTGCAGTTCTCCCTGCCCTCAGCCATTTAGGGTCCAGCCTCTACAACAACAGTGATCCCAAGCCCCTGGCCTGAATGTTGCACTAAAAGAGGCCCCTGGACTGGGACACCAAGGGACGTTAAACCAGTGGTTCTCAACCGGGAGCTGGGGCCCCCTGGGTTGCTGCAAGCTGGTTTCAGGGGGTCTGCCAAGCATGGCTGGTGTTAGACTCACTAAGGACCAGGGCAGAAAGCTGAAGCCCCACCATGCAGGACTGCAGCCTGGGGCCCTGAGCTCCAGCACCTGAGGCTGAAGCTGAAGCATGAGCAACTTAGCTTCATGGCGCCCCTTGTGGCATGGGCCCCCAGGCAACTACCCTGCTTCCTACCCCTTAATGCCAGCTGTAGATTTTATATGGAGAAAAACAATTGTTGTGGTACAGGAGGACGATGGAGTTTTTATAGCATGCTGGGATGGGGGTGGGGCCTCGGAAAGAAACAGGTTGAGAACCTCTGTGCTAAACAACCCTTTCAGTGGAGCCACTCTAGGTAAAATCTCTTGCTGTTTCACTTTCTGCATGTGCAGAGCCTGCCTGATACTTAGGGAAAGTGCTGTGAGCACTGCCAAGCTTGTCGCCTGGAGCTGTGGATTATCTCAGCATGATGGGAAAAGAGAATCCAAACACGGGGGCTGCATTGTTTCCCTGTTGCTTTTGGAAGGCAGAGCTGTTTACAGTTTGTTTTCTTCATTTAGTCCATGCTGCGGACTTACACATGGCATTCAGCAATCACCACAGGAGGGTTCACTATGAGGAGGGGTTGTTTAGATGGTATGGAATTGTTTAGAGTCCATTACAGAGCCAAGGACTCTTGTTCTCTCCATCCAATAAATTCTTGTCATGTCATTAGCAGCTTCAGTGTGCCAAATCTCCTTTTACTGTAAATTTTGTTTCCCCGTTTTTCTTTCTTTGGGAATCTATCCATCTGTCTCTGTGTATTTCTGATGTGCTATCACTGTACTGCCAATAGGATTAGGCAAATATCCTGCAAGGTGCAAAGAGCTCTTAACTCTGTAGTGGGGGATTTGGGTGCTTAACGCCTTGTAGAATTATCCTCATGGCTCAGAAAATCTGAGTGCTTTTTTTGGTGCATATAAATATCTTTTGTTGCTGAATATAAACAGTAGATCATGGAGTTAAAGGGCCTGGACTATCTATATCTATCTAGGTTTTATACATCCTAGAACTTAATAATAGTGATAGTTTTATATTTTAATGTTAATGAAACTATGATCACTTTTTTACATTAATACCTTTTGCTGCAGTGAGTGAAGCCAAACACAGCTGGGCTTCCCTCACTCTGAAAGTCAGGAAGTG